AAACTGGACTTACTTCTGCAGGTTTTGAAGGAATATCTTTTCTCTAGTCATCACGAGGGGAATTTAAGAGCATGTTTCAGATAAATTGGTTGTCTTTTGGAGCAAGACACCTAGCATTTTAGTAAAGTAGTACCCAAATTAGGCACAGTGCATTGCAGCCTTTGCTAAATGGAGAAGTCCACAGGGCTGGTAAATTAACTCTGCTTGCAGTATACTCCTGGGTTTGCTGGTGATGAACTATACACATGCTTGATGTTTAACAGACCTTGCTTTGTATTAAATCTGAGACATATGGCAGCCATTACTGAAAGCAAGAAATTTTTTCACCGTCAGCAACTTTGATGTTGAAACAGAACAACAGCTCTTGTCCATATCTCCTCCCAGTGGGTCTTTCTTAGTCTATCTTTTTAGCCTTTCCAGTCTTTCTCGAGCTTGTGGACTATTCGAGTCGCAAGCATGTACACCACTCTGCTCTAGGAGATACTACCACCTCCTGCTGTTGTTGGTGTTCCTCAGTGTTTGATTTTTTTTAATACAGATTCTCTTATTACATTGCTTAACAATGATGATGTGGATTGCCAGGAAGACATATGGAGCAAAAATTCTGTGATAGCTTGAGACATCTTCCTCAAACTAGAATACTCCCAGCAGTATATTTAAAAGGTCTCTAAAATTCACAGAGTGGGCATTCACAGTATTTTTACTGTAACAATTTTTGCACTTCCTTTTAGTGTCATGAAAATACCTTGCATACCGTTACCTTTTGGGACACTGTTCATGATCTCAGGAGCAGTTCATGTTTCACTGATATTTTTCTTTGATTGCTCAGCTTCACATGTTAAAAATTACTCCATTAACACAAAATTCTTAATCCTTTCTTACTGAAACTAAGGCTCTGGAAGGTGTCTCAAGTTGAATACTCAAAGCAAAATCCCTCACTAACCATTAGTCGTTTTTTAAAATCTTGGCCATGGTCTTTTATTAGTCTGTAAAATTTTATCACCATATATTGCACCCTGTAAATAATAAATGGTAACACCAGATGATGGAAGACAGAACAAAACAAATGCGTGATTGAGAATTTGTGTGTAATCGTGAAGGTTTCCTGGAAAGCAGGCCTCTTTGTAAAATCTGCTTGGGCACCCAAGCAATCACTTGCTCTTGCAGAGATCTTTCCCAGACTTTTGAGAATACATACACATTACTGAGAAAGTCTTAGTAAATTTTTTGCTGTTTTCTTCTCCAGGTGAAAAACCGCTTCTTTGAATTGGATGGCAGATGTGTTTTATAAGGATCAAATATCTGGCCTGCAAATCCACAAAGGGCAGACTGCAACGTGCCTCTCCCTTGTTGAACAGTAATTCATACATATAGGCCCACTGCCTGTCACAAGGTAAACAGCAAGTCCCTCTGCCAGTGACTTCTGTGATAACATCACGAACATCTGTGCGTGATTAGCAGGTTGAAGGGTAAATTCAGACCCCCATGAAGTGCAAGATAAATCAGTCTTTCTTTTTTTGTTAAATGTGCAACATCTGGCAACTTACATTTAAGTGTGTCACAACAGATATCTGCCACCAGGACTCACTATTTTAAACCCTTCAGTATAACATTGGTGAAGGTCTCGGCTTGTTCTTTAATGGTGGACAGACCTCTCCACCTCTGTAGCCTCTCTACACAGTCTGTGCAGATTTAGCACAAATGCAAACCAGTTTTACATTGCACTGCCTAGATTTCTCAAGAATCATAGATACACTTTTCATAGTGAAACCTCCTTAAATCATTCACAACTGAACACACAACTATTTTAACCTTCATACAGTGGTGCCCTCACCTCTCCCCAACTCTCTTCTCTGGAGTCCAGATGAAAAGCTTCTTCATCATTAATATGTGGTACCACATCTGCTGTGGGAGGACAAAGGAAAAGTTTTCAGGCCTAGTTTGTAAAGTGACACTTATAATGAAAGTGTTTATACATTACATCATTGTTATACTTTTGTGCTTATAATTAGTACTTCTGCTTAAAGCTAGACTCTTTATTTTTAGGTATAGATGTAAATTATTTTCATCTAGTTTAAGATTTTTAAATATACATCTTAGTATGCATGAAGGAATCAATTTTATACCTGGCTTATAAGAAAGCCCTAATAATCTTTAAGAAAAGTGTCTGGAGTTCTAGCAGAGTGAAACACTTAAGCACTTGTTTTATTTTTAAGTGCATACTTAAACCATGTAAAAATTACTGGTACTGAGGCTGTATTTTTTTTGCTAAATAAAAACCAAAGTAATAGAAACATATACTTATGAACAAAATCTTTTGATGTGTTTAACATTAGCCCTGCTGAAATCAGTGGAAGATACGCCTGTACTTAAGGGCTTCTTTCCTTCTTTTGATTACTTTTTTTTTTGTCTACTCTACTTCTATCCTTCTTTTGAGACATTCTTTGTTTAGGAAGGGAAGTACTAAACATTGTGAAATAAGCTGTTAGAAGTTTTATTATTAAAAAAGAGTAGGTAAAACTGAATTAAAATAATTATATAAATAAGTTTTGTAACTAATATAAACTCATAAAAGGTATCAGGATATGTTTTGTTTCCAGCATTTTCATTAGCTATTTCCTTGAAATATTTATGCCATTGTTCTGGCTTCGAACATAGATAGTTTTCCTGATACTAAGGTGTTACTTTACTTTTGGACTAAAAAAAATAATAAAAATCCTTCAAAATACTTAATGTGAGAAATACGTGTCTATGCCTTGGAGAGCAAGTTGGCTGGAAACAGTTTACTTTAGATCAATAATAAAATAAGATATTTAATTGGTGCCTTCATAATTAAAAACAGACGTCACTTCAGGAGACACTGGAGAATATGAAAAATTTGTAGAAATATATGTGAATATATCTCTGGACAAAAAGGAAAAGGCATGGCTTAATCCCTAAAGAAATGAAAACATGTTATTAAAACATTCCTAGCAAATGCTTTTGCTATCTTCTTCTCCTAATAGAGAATTATGTCTTTAAATGGCAGCATCTGCATTTGATAAAAATCAAATAAAATATTTCCGTACAAACAGATGGCACTGTTTTTAATTCTTTGTGGCCAGTTCAGGTATTATGAGAATGAATTATGATGTAAGCAAACTTTGCGTGCAAAGTATTTTTTGACAAAAATTTTGAATAAAGTTACACTTTGTGTTACCTGTTTTATCTCAGCCCGTTCCTCTCATCTGTTAAAACATAAAAATCAAATGCGTTCAGCTCTGTGGCTGCTTGATACTTAAGTCAGGATTTGCTGTCTTTTCCTGCCTAGGTGCTGAGGTGCCTTAGTTATTTTAGGGGTTAAAAGCTGTAGCCACTGATGCGTATATATTAGGCTGTATTCATAGAACACGGCTTGTAGCCTGCCTCAAACTATTACAGTCGAACAACAGTGACCAATAGAAAGAGAAGAAGATCCAAGAAAGCTGAGGTAAGCCCAAACTCTGAAGCAACGTCAAATTAGAAACAATAGCTAATAAGGTGTGCATGGTAATACATCTGGGAATACTAGCATGTACTTCAAGTTTTATATGCTATTAATTCTTAGGAGGACAGGAAGCAACACTGTGTTTAGCAGCCAAAGGCTGTGAATTTACAGTGATTTCTAACTGCCTTCAGATAGCTCCAGGAACTTGACTAACAAGGTAAATTATATTTCTGTTCTAAAATGTTATTAAGGTTATGAATACTTACATAGTGAGAAGGAGCCATTTCACTGTGTAAATTAGAGATGTTATTCTTTAGAAATATATTTTCGTTTTCTGGAATGCTTCCAGATAGGAGTTTCTGAGGCTGATAGATCTGTAGGATACAGCACTTGTTACTACTAATAACAATGCTGAAAATTATTAAATGATTACATATCATATGCAGCAACTTAAATGAGCTCTTAACCTTACTGGCGTATTAATCCTGGTGCATATGAGAGTTTACTTTTTGTTTAAATACTATTTTTTCCAAAACTAGCTTCCTAATTCTGACCAGAAATTTCAGCTATCAGTCTCTTGCTTCTGCTTTGCAAAATGTTGGCTAATCTTCATCAGAAAGCAAGAAGGACAACAGAGTTTGTGGTTTCTGAAGCGCTGTTTTTGTGCTACACAAATATTTCCTGCTGGAGTAAATTATCATCGATGATTTTGTTCATCCTCTAGTGGTGGAAGAGGCTAAACAAAGCAAATAATTGACTAGGTAAAAGAGATACAAGATGCACGAGTGTATATGATATAATTTGGTTAGGACTCACACTTTGTGTAGTTATATCAGGTATTTGGTTTGGCTGTTTGCTTTAGAGAAGGAAATTCATAACTTTGGATATGAGAGAGTGAATGAGGGAGGGGAATGGATTGCTAAAACATACTGCCTCCACGCTTTTTAAGAACATGACCAACGAACAGCTGTTAAAACACTCTTTGATCTTTCGGTTTTCTGTGATGAGAAAAGACCATGGAAAATCTGATCCAGATGCCATTATAATTTAAGAGGGAGCAAAAAAGAAAAGAGGGTATTATTGACTTTAAAAGAAGGAACACTGAGTACAATAGTATTTCCATCATAAGAGTATTGATAGCTTTATTGAAGATGGTACATGATATAAACTAGTTTACGAGTTTGTAAAGGAAAATAAATAAATTTATAAGAAGCAGTGATTTAATGTCAGAAAAATGGTCTGTGTTTTCAGGTTCTTTGAAATGACGCTTGCATGAACATCAGTTAAACTGGTAGCCAATGTGAAGTCTAAGTTGAATCAGGAAAATGTTCTTCAACATATAGCATTGAATTGTTTATACCTCTTATATTACTGTTCCATTTTTCCCTAACATGCCACAAGTAATACCATAGAGGACAGAATTTTGCTGTTTATAAAGGAAATATTATTTTCTATATAATACTGCTTTGTTAAACTTGTATGCCATTAGAGAGTTCTGTTTAGAGACAGCTAATTGTTTTTTTCCCCTTCCAAGGCAAACAATGACTCTAAAAGTTTATACAAGCCTTTTACTCTTATTCTTGGTCAATTCTGTGTGGACTCGAACTGTGAGACAAGTTTATGATGAGCTGGATCCTGAGCATTGGTCTCACTACACTTTTGAGTGTCCCCGAGAGTGCTTTTGTCCTCCTAGTTTCCCCAATGCATTATACTGTGATAATAAAGGACTTAAAGAAATACCTGCCATCCCAGCAAGAATTTGGTACCTCTATCTTCAAAACAATCTAATTGAAACAGTTTCAGAGAAGCCTTTCGTGAATGCCACTCATCTGAGATGGATAAATCTGAACAAGAATAAGATTACCAACAGTGGAATTGAGAGTGGTGTGCTGAGCAAGCTGAAAAGACTGCTTTACTTATTCCTTGAAGACAACGAATTGGAAGAGGTGCCTGCGCCATTACCAGTGGGCCTGGAACAGCTAAGACTGGCTAGAAACAAAATCTCCAGAATCCCAGATGGTGTCTTCAGCAACTTGGAAAATCTTACTATGTTAGATCTGCACCAGAACAGTTTGTTGGACAGCGCTCTTCAAAGTGACACGTTCCAAGGACTCAACAATCTTATGCAACTCAACATAGCAAAAAATTCACTCAAGAAAATGCCTTTAAGCATTCCAGCTAACACACTGCAGCTGTTTTTGGACAACAACTCCATAGAAGTGATACCAGAAAACTACTTCAGTGCAATACCCAAAGTGACTTTCCTTAGGCTGAACTACAATAAATTATCTGATGAAGGTATTCCCTCAAATGGGTTTAATGTTTCATCTATTCTAGACCTACAGCTGTCTCACAACCAGCTCACTAAAATTCCACCGATCAATGCTCATCTCGAGCACCTTCACCTTGACCACAACAGAATCAAAAGTAAGTGTGTGTTGTCAGTGTGGGATCCCAACAACATCTAATTATTTTTCAACATCTACTTAAGTATAAAAAACGCTCTTTGAAATAAAGAGATTGAAAATGTGCTCTAGATTATAGGGAGATGAGCAAGAGGACCTACTACAGGTCAGTTTTCAAGTCTAAAATATGACAACCAAATAAGTGCATGGAAGTAATATCACATGTCAAAACTTTTCATATAGATACATTAAATAACTTTGCAAGAAGATCAGAAATATGAGTTGATTAAGGAGTATTTGTGCATTCACATTTTGCTATATACATGCCAGTAACCATCTTGTGGGAACAAATGAAGTTTCCTACAGAAAGGCTAGGAATAAATAAGCAAGAAAAAACAGTTAAAAAGTGAGTGCAAAAAATTAGGATATTCAAACCACATTTGTATGATTCTTAGCTTTTCATAGTTCCCGGTCCCCTTAGGGACTTCTCAACTGAGAGGATTGCCACATGCTCTGTTCTTCTGAGTATCTCTCTGTCCACCTAAATTATGTAGTGGGAGCTTAATATGAGGTACTCTTAATACAGAATAAAATGTTGACTGTAGTCAACAAATTCTCTTTTGAATATGACTAATTAGAATGTGGATATTGAATATTTCAGGCTTGAATATTCTCCCCATCTTGATTACAGCACACAAAATGCTCCCATTTGGGTTTAGTCTTCATGACAAATTTTTCACCGACTTTAGAGAAGCTTTGACCTACTAAGGTTTATGCCCTCAAATGTCTTCCAAGATTTTCCACTTTGTATAAATGAGACAAGGTTTTGCACTCAAGGCAATAGAAGCTTGTTGTCATGTCATAGTTCTGCTTATAGTGCTGCTCTCAGATTCATCCAGGCACAGCAGGGATACAGTGGTTAGGGTCACTGGGTAAAGTATCTGCTCAGTAAGTTCCTCAGACCTTCAATCCTTTGTTTAATGACAAAATCAAAAACCAAAGTGATGACTTTCTATCTATCACTGCATTCTCTACAGTGCAATGTCTACATATGTCTTCCTGTTGTGGTGATTTAGTTGAATAAATGGTTCCTTACTTCCGTATTGTGTCACTGTAGTTCACAAATATACTAAATATAATGGTTTGGCTTCCGTATGAAACAAGGACATATCAAAGGAAGATACTTATTAATAATTCAAGCTAATTCTCTGCATTTTGCAAAACAAATGTATGACACCTTGCAAGGAAAAATCAATTTTGTACAACTGGCACATATTTAAGTGGCTCGTGAGGAGTCTAACTGTAAATTAGAGTTAGGGCTTATGGCATACTGTGTTACCGAACATATTTTATTGCCCCCAGGTTACAAAGGGATTTATTTAAACTGCTGCACTGCAGGCCCTCAGGAGCAGACTTTATCTCCTGTTGCTTTAAGAGGACACAAACTGAAATCATTGGAATGCAACCTTTCCAGTTTAAGAATTGTTTTGTGTCTAGGTAGAAAATGAGTATTTAAAGAGCTGCCCGATTATCTTCCTTTCCTAAATAAGTTTATAAAAGGTTAAAACCATGAAAACTGATCTGTGTAGTATCTGCAAATTCAAGTCCCATCTTCCAATGGCGCATGGGTACCCATGAGCCTAAATCACAATGATTTTCCACAAACCTTATATTCCTTAGTGCTTTTCTCACTTTTCAAACATCATGACTAACTTCAGCGCAACGCTGCTCTTGATTTAACAAAAGACAAAGGTTTTCTTCTTAGAAACTACATGTAAAGTACTGAAATTATTATTAAAAAAGGCAACATGACACCTCAAATGAAATACAGATATTACGTAATGCACATTCTACTACATAGTATAATTGTTCAAGAGGTAAGGGATAATGACATAGTCTCCATGAGACGTTGCTCTAATATCTGACATCTCAAAGGGCCTTTAGGACTGCAAACAAGGAAATGTAATTCCACCATGCAGGAATAATAAGATATGGCATTAATTCTGTAGATTGTTTTTGTCTTCTTAAACCCGGGAAGCTGATGGTCAGTCATCACTCTAAGGTAACAAATGCAAAGGATTTGAAAGAAAAATAACTGTAAAAGCCTGGATCTTGCTTCTCTACAAGAGTCCTCCTGAAAGTTTACTTTTACATGTGCAGTACAAGCCCTTATTATAGTATTAAATCTCAAATAACTCTGCACGCCTGCCAATTGCTGCTTTGTTTTCACTTGGTGGTTCACAGTTACGCTGCTGGCATTGCAAGAGCTCAGACATCAAAATTTCTATGTAAATATTATTTGCCTACCTTTTATTGTATGCTATTGTATAACATCAGGCCTTATTTCTCCAGAGTTAATTTGTGAAGATATAAGGTGATATCCTGAAGCCCAGTGAAGTCAGTGAGAGCCTTAACACTGATGTCAGTGGAACCAGGATTTTTCCTGCAGTTGCTTTCCCAAGGATCTCAATGCACAGAGGAAAAAAAAGTACTTCAAAGTTAGAAGCAAAATAAACACAAACCCAAAACTAATTATGGCTCCACCAGCTACACACCACACCTGTTCCAAGGAATTTTAAAACATGCATGTTTACATAATTACTTATGACATACACATGCAAGGCTGTGGGGAGATGCCAAATGATGGAAAAGGGAGTGCTGGAGGAAGCAAAAAGAGAAGGCATGAAACAATGATGCAGTGAGTGAGCAAGGGGAAGCAGGTGGTATTACAATGCTATCAAAGCAGCGATAAAAGGGAGATAACAGTAAGTTCCCCTAGAGGAATGTCATCAGATTGGGATAGCTCCTCTGAGCTAATATTATTCCATGTGTAGAGGAACAGAGAAGTCCTTGCACCAAGTAGTAATTCCAGTGTATGAGAATCCTTTATAGGTTATTTGGAAAGAAATTGTTGAAGTTACAGATCCTGACTTGTTATGAGGCCCCTGCACTATAACTGGCACTGGCTTCTTTGCTGGAAGAGCCCAGAAAGGTACAGATTTCCAGGCTGATCTATGACTGCTGCAGTTAAATATTCTGTGAAAAAGGGAACAGGAGTCCAACTGTTCGATTTGGACCACAGTGGGTGCAGCTAGAGGCTACAAGAATAGAACAGAAATACCCTCAAATTCATATATGTCAGAATACATCTATCTCTGAGATCAACTTACTTTCTAAAGGTTTCTAAATCATGAGTTTTGCTGGAAAAGAAACAAGATTTCCTCTGGCTCTTCAGCAGACATAAAGTATTGGTCAGTAATGAGGACCTCTTCTGCAGTTTTCCCCTGCAGCAGCTCCAGAGTCTAATTTTTAAATATTGCACCCCTTAACAATACTGTTGACAATAGGTGGGATTCATCTTGTTTGAATTAGCCATCCTAGATTTTGGTGTCTAGTTTGGGTTAGTCATACAGACCACCTACTCAATTAATGGAAAGAGATGCACAATTGCAGAGGAAAAATCATCCCATCTTAAGGAGCTGTGAATGACTTTTTGGAAGTGTTCTTCTCTCTCCAGAGTTTATAAACAGAACGTAAATTGTTTATGTAGACTGACACTTACCATCTACGTGGATCAGTCTAGGTAGGGTGACACGTACCCGTGTAGATGTATTGCCATGTCCTTCCTGCTTAATCAAAATTCATCAGTATACTTGCGAACAGGACTGCAAGAGAAAAGGAGAGAGGGCGCCTTTTAGTCCTCTGATAGTTTGAGTAGGATTTACTGTTCATGGGAAGAGAACAATAAAAAAACCAAACCACTTCATACCACACAACATTAGGAAATCACTTCTTCATAGGTGGCCTGTGGTTAGATAACTGCTGCCTCACTTTAAGGATGAAGTAATTAGCCCAGTGAAGACTAGTGCAGTGGGATAGTTTCCAGGTCAGAGAACACAGAGATTTAGAAAACACGTGAAGTCGTCTTGTCTCCTAAAGACAATAGTGCTCTTTGAAATCCTATATGGGCTGAGAAGGCAGATATTTTTTGCTACACAATGTTGATTCACTTGTAAAACTTTCAATAACTGCTTTCATAATGAAACCTCACTCTTAAGCTTCCTACTTCATAGCTTCACACATAAAAGTAAGTTGTAGCTTGTTTTATTCAAGAATATCAAACGCTTTACAAACATTAGTAAAATTGCACAGCATAGGCAAAGATGTTTTGACATCATGAATAAGATAGAAATTTTAGGCTTTGGCCAACTGGATGCATTTATCTAGTTCCTATGACAAAGATAAAGTCCATTTCCAAGATGCTGCAAACATCTGGGCATTTTTTTGAGTGGGTTTCTTTTTCTTTTGCGAATAAAAAAAACCTGGGGTTTTTTTTCATCATAATGTGAAACCAGTTTGGGGGATTGGAATCAAAAAATGTGTGCACATAATCATTGCTAAATATAAAGTGAGAAAAATTTTGGCAGAAAGCTTTTCTTTTCCTATTTCTGGGCTGCTCAAAAAAAAAATGTTGTATACACATTCTCCATTCAACCACTTTTTGCAGGTGCTCTTGGGCCAACAAGATCCTTAAGCAGCCAGAACAATCACTAAACACCATAATTTGGTCAAAGGAACTATACATCTTTCATAAACAAACACCACTTCAGTGTTTTCAAGAATAAGGCTAGTTTGAGGCTGAAATAGGTCATCAGCAGCCTCACTGTTCAACATCTGAAGACAAGATATGAAAAGCATTTTAGACAAGTGATAATGCAGAGGTAGTTTAGGGGAGACAATGTCAAGAATCCATTCTATTCTACTCTTATGAAAATGGGTAATGATTAAAAAGCAGTTTGAAATTGTATCTGAACTGAAACAAGCTATGTGTGATTTATAAAGAATTTTAAGGTCTTTCTGGCTTTCAGATTAGGAAGAAAAATATCCCATTGCGCAAGTTGCATTCTTGCAGTTCAAACAAACTGTACTAAAGTATTTGAAAAAACAGGAAAGTACAGATATTAAAAGCTGCAGACACTGTACTAAAAGCTCCTCAGATTCAATACTGTTACTATTTTGAATTCAAGATCTTCACTAGGGTATATTATCAATTAACATACTGTCATTGCAGTAAAATGTTCAAAAATCCCTCAGCATTAACCTTGTTATGCTATCTCTGAGGGCAAAGAGCTATTTCTCCATGAATACTTACCCAGCATTTGTCTCAATTAGCTCCTCTCTGTGAAAGATAAAATTATGCATCTAGTGGCCCTTATTCATAATTGCAGCACATTAAATATCTCATTCACTGATCTAGACTACATTATGTTAAGATGCTTTTTTGCTTGAACAAAATAGCAGCTAATTGTTGATTTGGCATTTTCCTTCTCTGATAAAAGCAAGTCTACCACACAAAAATCAGTGGAATCCTGTTATATTGGTTTTCTAAATGAATTTTGTCTTCATGATCCTTGCCCATGGAAACTACCTAACATGTTGATCTACATTTTCAGGTGTCAATGGTACTCAAATATGCCCAGTCTCAATTGCTGTAGCAGAAGACTACAGTTTCTACAGCAACCTCCCTCGCCTCCGCTACCTTCGCCTGGATGGAAATGAAATTCAACCTCCAATCCCATTGGACATCATGATATGTTTCCGGCTACTTCAAGCTGTTGTGATATAAAGATACCACAGTGTCACTCTTGTGCTGTGAGAAGGCTAAGACACAAGTTTTGCTGGAATGAAACTTGTTCAAACTCACAAATCAAGAAGTAACAGCTTTGTCTTGACTTTAATTTTTTCTTTGCTTGTATCTTTTCTACAGCTGAAAAGATTGCTCTTCTTTCAGAAGAGATTATGGATGGACACGAAACGTGTGCTTAACACTTTACCTAAGAATTCCTAATGCAAATATATTGAAAAGCGTTTGTGTATGATCCCATACATTCCAAAGCAATTTCTTGCCTACTCCATCTTTCTTGTCAAATGCTACGATGTCTATTTCTGTTAACATCATTGTTACAGACAAATTATAGACCTTATTTTGTTACATAGTAACTAACTCAATGATTTTGGGTCCACTTGGCTAAATACATATGGTAGAAAAATCATGAGTTTTGTGACTTGCTAGTTATCATAACTACCCTACTGTCTTTTATAAGATAGTGAGTAACAGTGAAAAACCGCTTAACAGGTAAACAACTCATAAATTGCTGTCATCCCTTGAAGATTTATACTTTTTGAGCTCAGGGCCCAAATCAATATACTGCATATATATTGTTGTATGGATTCATTCAGTGTATGATTTCAGAATTGGAATACATTGATCCAACTCAAACCCAGGGACAAGGGAACATCAGATGAAATCTTGGTCTATCAAAGTGCCAATTTTCTGCTCTTTCATTCTTCAGTATTCTTTTTCCAGTTTTGACAGGATTCATTTCTGTAGATTTGGGATAGTCATTGAATATTTGGTTCATTTTAGTCTCTATAGAGATAAAACCAAGAACAGTAGTGGTTACATATTTTATAGACTAGGTACTTCACTAAAAATCTAATGGCTAGTTAATATAATGGTGATAGACAGAAAATCAAGAGATACATATCCCCCCCCAACTATTTACTCAACTAGTCAAATATTTGCATAGCAAATGTATCAGTTTAAGCAAAGACAATAAACTCAGAGTAGTATTCAGCTATCTGCTGACTCATATACATGCACATAGTAACACTGGATTTTAGGGAAGTCCAGGTATTTAGAATACAGCACATTCACATTTTCCTAACAAGGGAGATATCAGCAGACATCTTTTTGTGGAAACTGATGGGGGTTTTTTTCTATTTTTGTAAGACAATATTTCAATACACATCTTGAATATTAGATTCAACTATTCACAGCGAGAGTAAGAAATTTTCATTTCTGATAGTCAACACAACAGACTATCTGGCTGTCTTATTGTTTTCCTCTTCTTGTATTTGTAGATAGAAGCAATTAGTTGCTCTTTGATGGCTTGCATCTATTTCTAACATTTTAAGACTGGCCTCAGTAACAAGCATTTAAAGACTATGCACTTGGTATCATTTTTTCTTTGAAGATTAAGCATTTTCTTAAAACTAGATTTTTAAAAGGGTTGAGATCTGCAATTTCTAACATTCAATCTCTTTTCATCCGAAAATCAGGCCTTATTCTGTTTCAGTGTGCTTGCGGAATTAACCCAGTATAGAAACTCAGCATAGAAATAACCCATTCAGAAAACCTGTCACAAAAGTATACAATTTTGCAGTTCTTTTTGTGTGATTGTTAAGAAACTCTTGCCATTCTAGCAAAATATTCTCTGTATATCTGTGTTCACTCTATATGAAAAAAAAGATTTTAAAAGTCTCTACGGTATGTATGCATGTTTACCTATGTTCTTTACTCAGTAATAGCACAGTAATTTATTTTTTAAAAAAAAAAAGTGACAATACTACTATTTAAATTATAACAATGATTAAGTGCTTGTATTTGGAAATTAATTTCTACTTTAAACCCAGAACAAGTATACATACTCCAAAGTGAATATTCACAAGCATACATACACATTATTACCATTATTTACAGTGCTAATTTATCATAAAGTGTCTTGAATTTCCAAAAACTATGACCCTTTCAGGCACTGTATAGATATTAAAGCAGAAAAGACTAACCCAAAGAGATTTCAAGCTTATATATGAGAAGAGATGCTATGTAAAATCATATAAGGACACTGGAGCACCAAGGTACTGAATTTTCTTGATATTATGTGACAAAATCAGGGGCGTGTAGTCTGTTGAAATCCTTTTTAACAGTTCTTTTCCACCAGCTGGCCTGATATTAATGGATTTTTCCAATCTACTGTAGGGTGGAAAGCCTTATAAATTAGATCTTCAAAGGTCAACACTGTCTTATGGAACAATCGTTGGACACATGCAGATCGATGCTCAAGACTTGTCCCTGTCAAATCCCAGTTAATCTGAGTGAAGACAAAAACTCATGATACGTCCTCGGACAAACTTTTATTGGGTGAAGAGCTGCTGCTGCCAAGTGCTCTGTGTTCTACACCTTTAATGCAATCCACTGACTCCACATCTAGGAACTTTTTAATAAAAAGAAAATACTAACTATACTCATTTAGTCTAATTTGTCTCATCTTGATTCCCTGTCTCAGAACCAGCAGTATGAAGTAGAATGAAAAATAATTATGTTACTGCGGTGACCTTCACAAGCTAAATCAACTCTGGCTGGGAGTTGAGCAGCTGTACTGCATGCAATGTCTCTATTGGCAGCAGTCTTAAAGTTCTTAAATATTCTGGGAAACATGGTGAAACTTTTCCCTGGGTTACAATAGCTGGCTTAAATTGCATTATTGTGCAGAACTAAACAATGTAGGCTTTCAGCCACACCTCATCCAATCCATTCGTTATGCCAGAAGACTATAAAAGAAAATGTAAAACACAATGTATGATGTCCTCTTCCCTATGAACGGGATTCCTAAATCAATGCAAAAAGCATCACTGTGCTTAAAAGTTTGGCATTAATTCTTTCTAATCCAAGATTGGTCTAAGACTCACCACTAATATTTCCTGGTTCAGAAAAAACTACAATCTATTCCACTGCAAGGAGGGAGGAAAAGACCTCTCAGCTGTCCTGTCTGAGCCCACAGCTGCATTAATAAAGCCAACATTTGTTTCACTTCATTGTCAGAGCACATCGTGAACAGTTTTGAATGGAATACCATGTACAGAAACAAACACTTTTACAAGAATGCGAAGTTGAGTACAAAGCACCTCACCTTAAGCACACTGCAGTTGTGGTCAATTGTTAACCAAACCACAGGCACCTAGTGCTTTTCCAGAAATGCAGATTACTTATAAGTTACTTTAGAAATTATGATAGTTAACATAAATGTGCTGTCACCTCAGCCCAGGGTACAGACAGTTGCTCTGTAAAGAAAAGCATTAAAGCAAAATGAGAGGCTCAAGAACTGAGAAATACCCAGACCTTTCTGACATGTCTGCCAGCTTGATTGGAGGCTGGATGCTGGATCTATCAAAAGACTGTGTGGTTTTAGAACACAGTTAGCTCTGCAGGAAGAAAGGTCCTTTATAGCCTGCTGCCAGCATAGTTAAAAATTCAGCCATATGCCTGAATCTCCCTGATCCATACTCTTCTCTGGCATTTTCTGTTTCTTTTGAAATATTCCAAACAATTTGCTACAACTTTCTTCTTCGACACTTTTAATGAAAAATACCATTACAACGATCTGCAGAGATGCCAGCGACCACAGCAGCTTGCACGACACTTCAGGGAAAAAACACAAAGAGGTAAAAATTTGGAAGAGAACTAGAAAGCCAATTTGCATGTTCATAATTACTAACTCCAACATATACACTGCAGGGATTTTCATTCACCCATGCTGCACATTTATGGTTTCCAATGTTTACCACAAATACTCGCTGTCATTTTTCTAGCCTAGAAAAATTATTTGCTGATATTATATTGCAGCTACTTTTGTTATCTATCTAGAATTAGATTACTGTAACACCTGTGTTGGTTATTGAATATCCCCCTAATAATATCCCAGTAAGCTAATATCCCAATTCTGCCGTGTGCAGCAGAGAATCTTTGACATTGTTGAAGCCAGCAAGTAAACATCCTCCTCTTGACTGAAAGTCTCCCCCATAATTGCATTTTTTCCCCAGATTTGATTACCCACTTAAACAAAAAGGGTAGTTCTACAAGGCACCACACTGTCTGTGTAATGATACTCAGGAGCAGTACTAACAACTTCAGGTCAAGCGCATGAAGCAATATGCATTATTTCCATCATGTTCTGCCTTAGCTAATTTACCTTCTTCCCTATTAGTAGAGGTAATATTGCTTCTGAGTCCTGTGCTTGCTCTGTCAGTGCTAGTTCAAACAAACCTATACTGTAATGAATTTGATTCCTTTCTCAACACAGTTGTTTCTTACACACCATGCACTGTTGCCAACAGCCTGGGTATTCTTTTTACTGTTTTTGTCTTGGTTGCTGTAGTGTATGCATTTGACCCATCTATCTGCCTATCAGCTTGATTTAGTTTTGTTTCTGCAGTCTCTTTTAGTTTAAGCATGTTTATGCACCCTGCGCTGTTCTGATTTCTTCTATTCCCTGGCAGTTCAGCTGAGCCTGGGTTTCTCTAGGGGAAGCGCCGTCCGGGCTGCCGCACATGCACTGCAGCAGAACAGCGTGCCCCACTGCCCACAGCATTCACACCTCCTCCCATGCACATGTGAAGACCCAGGCTGAGGCTGTCATGTAGGTTGGGTGTATCTGGAAATTGCTTTTTCCAGGCTTCCTCTCACTGCCCCCAGCCTTTTTTGTAGGACAAATAGTGAAGAAATTGGAATTACATCTTCCACAAACAAAAGCTGTTCCTAATGAGGGGCTGGGGCAACAAAAGGTACATGTGGAATCCACAGATCTCAGTGAAGCTAGGCTTTTTCATTAAATCCTTTATTCATTAAAATGCTCGATCACAATTTTTATGAATTGTTGGTGAATTCAGAAAAAATATGCAAATACTTTAAGTCATGGGGAAGAAAAAAAATATTAAAACAGTGCTCATACTTCTTATTTAATAATCCTGTTGCTAAGATATCTATCATGTAACATGATATGCCCT